ATTAGATTCAAATCTATAGCTCCTGTAGCTACTTAAAACATGGTTTTAGAAACTAAACCCAACATTTCCAGCAACCATAGAAACAGTTAAAATAAAATTTGCCATGAAAGCCCTTATATCATGCTTGATACAGGGAGGTAGGAAGATGTAAGAACCAGGACACATGAGACATGACATTTTATCTACAACTCCTGTTTGCTTTACTGAGGGTGTAGTTTCAAAATTCAGTCACCTTCTTCAGTTTCAGATTCAGATTCTAGAATAGGGGAAAAAAGCAAACATTATATATCAGAAAGCAAAGTACCCATTTATAACTTCAAAGCTTTTTTAAGATAGAGTCTCCCTCCTTCCCACAGGTCACAGTGCAGTGGTACCCTCTTGGCTCACTGCAACCTCTGCCTCCAGGGTTCAAGTGATCCTCCCACTTCAGCTTCTCGAGTAGCTGGGACTAGAGGCGCCCACCACCAAAACTGGCTAATTTTTAAATTTTTAGTAGAGACAGGGTTTCCCATGTTGGCCAGGCTGGCCTCAAACTCCTGCCTTCAAGTGACCTGAACGCCTCAGCCTCCCAAAATGCTAGGATTACAGGTGTGAGACACCACACCCAGCCTCCATATAACTTTGAAGCTGTTAAGGAATTTTATTAATACCCTATTTAGATGAGGGAGATATTCAAAAGCATTCACTTGGAAATCCCAAAATCTGGCTGGGTGCAGTAACATCTGTGATCCCTGCACTTTGTGAGGCTGAGGCAGGAGGGCTGCTTGAGCCCACGAGTTCAAGACCAGCCTCGGCAACACAGTGAGACCCTGTCTCTATATTTTTAATTACAGAAAAGTAAAAAAAAGAAATCCACAAATTTATAAACATTAAATATTCTCAAAAATTTCCATTTCACCAAAAACATTTACTATTATGGCTGAGCCATAAATATACTGTAATAATTAAACTCTAGCTTTTGCCACCTGCCTTATAAGTTAACAAAAATCTCTCCTCCAGGTACAAAGTGGCATTAGAAAGAAGGAAGCACGTGTGAAGATATATTATGGCCACATTAAAATTAGCATTATCAAACAAAGGAAAATCCTTACCTTCTTCTGCATTTTTGAGCCATTCTACAAACTTTTTCATTTGCTCAAGGAAAACACTCTTTCCCTTCGCAACATGTGCATCTTTATACCACTTCAAAATGGGCTCTTCACTCAGGACTTCAGCTGGAAAGAAAACTCACTGCATTAGGGGAGTTTTAATATACTCTACTCAGACAGAGTTAGAACAATCACCTAATGTGCAAATGCCTGCTTAGCAAACAAACTGCTGAAAAGTTAAAAACACCCATGAGAACTGGAGGATAGAATAATGCATGTGTGCACACCAACTACACTCCATAGGATCAAGGCTGGTCTGATTAGTGCAGAATTTCAAAGTGTTATGACCAACTGCAATGGATTTTCTCCCAACAGAGGTCTCGTCTTTACTTACCACTAGACCAGGTTTCTAAAATTGGGATCAAGAGAAAAGGGAATGATAACTGAAATTGGGGTTGCTATAGAAGCACTCTGAACTGGTCTTGAAGGACTACTGAAAGTCAACACTGGGTGGGAGGGTAAGATGAACAGAAGCAGGATTCACACAGGCTGAAAACTCCAGAGCTATGACTATATAGAGCTAAGACTACAGGACCCGGTTTTTGTTTTTTTTAGGAAACAGGGTCTCACTTGTTCCCCAGGCTGCTGGAGTGCAGTGGCACAATCTTGGTTCACTGCAGCTTTGACCTCCTAGGCTCAAGCGATCCTCCTACCTCAGCCTTCTGAGTTGCTGGGACTACAGGCTTGCGCCACCATTGCCTGGCTAATTTTCTAATAGAGACGAGGTCTCCTTATGTAGTCCAGGCCAGTCTTGAACTCCTGGGCTCAAGCGATCCTCCTGCCTCAGGCTCCCAAAGTGTTAGGATCACAAGTGTGAGCCATCGAATATAGCTGAACTTTGGGGAACGTACAGCTGGTTAGAGTATGAGGCAAAGTTTGAGGACCCATAATGATGGCTTTGGATTTCATACTTTAATTTGTGAATAGGGTTTAGATGTTTTAAACAAATACCAGTGCACTAAAAAGCACCCAATTTAATCAGGGGCGACTCATAACTAGAAGTAAAATATTTCAGGCAGCTGATGTCCAGATAACTCATCATTTGGATCATTTTGTATTTACAAGGATTTTTATTAAATGTTATTTACAAAATTCAAAATCTAAATTACCTTTATAAAAAAGCACCACTATTTTCTGGAAGGCTTTCATGAAATGAATGTTGTCATAGCAATACTCCTGAATCTTCAGTAACAGAGTCAGCTCAGACTGACCTTGAGTAGTAAAGGCAGCAAGTAGAGGGCTGTATTGCTTCAAGTGCTTGATGGCTTGCTCTGCTACAAGCTCCTCTTTTTTGTTCCATTCCACAGTGCTCATTACACTTGACCAGACTATTCCGATGACAACTGGTT